ACACACACACACCCTCCTAATGTGGGGCTCCAGTGGAATAGCTGCTATAATATTTTTAGTTGTGTTTGTCTGTGTCCTTTATAAAGTTTATATCTCTGCTACCTGGCATTACATTTTATGACACACATGGCCTGACCTGACAGAGTCCAGTTGATGTCAAATCTGGCCCTCATAACAAATGAGTTTGACACCCCTGGTCTAGAGGAAGGAGGAGTTTGTGTTTCTGAACACAATCTCTTGTAGAATAGACCGCTGTAATCTGTTTGGCATGTATTTGAATTTAAATGTTTAGAATATTTTTCCTTTTAAAATATTTTAGTTAAAGTATAAGTAAATGAATTTTAAATTATGCAATACAACTTCTGTGTTTATTTCTGAAATGATCTTGCTTTATTATTCAATGAAAAATAGGCATGTATGTGCAGAGCTGTCAGCCTGTAGGTTTTGATTTGACACCCAAGCCATTTTAAAAAATCACAGGATGCCCAAAATATTGCAGTTGAAACTTTTTCCCTTGACAGATTCTTGGTGGCAGAAGTGACCAGCAGTCTAGACAAAAGCGAGAATGGATTGTCCCACCTGCAGTCATCACGGAAGAGCAGGACAACTCCAGGAGGAATCCAATTGCTAGAGTAAGGCGAATACCAGATGAATGGAAGTCTAATGAGTGTGGAGGGGGAATCATATGGAAACATAGGTCTCTGTGACATTGTCCTATTCCCCCTCCCTCCACAGAGCTTTTTGAATGACAAAATATTTGGGCTGGGATGAAAATGAAAATGTATTTTAGTCAATTTATGAACATATTGATTGCAAATTGTAAACTGTATTTTGTTCTCATGGTGAAGTTGCATCATGCACAACTGCCTTGGCCTTATTTTTTAAATTCTGCCCTTACTTCATCTATAATGGCTGTAAGTCCGTGTGAAAAATAAATAGTCTTTGTTTCTGCCATATCAAGATACTCCATCAGATCAGCCCCATTAAGTTCCTTTGCTCACTTTAACAGCTGCTCACTTTCACCTTTTCACCTTTGAGCCATGAATGACAAACTGAGGGGAAGCCTGAGAAGGAAGAGGATTGGCCCGGCCTGTGTACTGCCATGACTGCTTTCCACCCTCTCTTATTTTCTGCTGTTCAGACATAGCACTTTGCAAGTGTGGATCTTTGCTATATTCCTGGAGCTATTCCTGCATTGGTTGCCTGCTTCTCATTGTCCAAAGCATCCACACCATACTCCCTTCAGGTAGAAAGGATAGATAGTAGCCATTTCCCTTAGCTTCAGATATGGTGCTGGAATTTTTTCTCATTGAAGGAATACGTTTAAAACTTACCAAAACAAATTTCTCTTTAGTTGAGATCTTAGTCTCATGTACTTGGACAATCCGTTGTCTCTTTCGCTGGTGCAGGTTGCAATCCTAGGAGAAAGTCCCATAGAAGAGACTTGAGTAGGGTTTTAGGTAGACCAACTTAGGATTGTTCTCACAATCATGGTTAGCCTGATTCTGTGTTGTGGAGTATAGGGTTAAATGCATTAGTTTCAGTGGAAGTGCTCTCTTAATTAAATATGTACAGAATTCCAGGTCTGTGAAGATTCCCTATCATGTAAGTTAGGACACAATTCATCCTCTCATATGTACATCTGCGTATGTAGGATGGGGACCCTGTAAAACAGAGCAATGCTTTTCTTATCCCCTCTCATTCTCAACCAGGTGTGAGCACACCGTGGCACGTGGGTATCCTCTTCTGTGCACATAGGTGCACATATGGGATGATGGATTGTGTCCAGGGCCTGCCCACCCATAGAAAATTTTAGACATTTGCCTAGGGGCACCACGCCACCACCTCATGGAAAGGCGCCGCCTAGCCTGCCGCCCCGCCCCTGCCAAAAGCGACAATCTGTATTTCCCGTCTTCCGCTGTTGGTCCCCAGAGCTCAGGGCGGCCTACCTCGGTCTCTGCCCTGCTCCTTTTTATCCCCTACAACACAACCCAGCACTGGAGAAAGAGAGGCACAGAGAAAGGTGCTTTTCTGGGTGCACCTGCTGGCAAAAGGCTTTCTGAAGCAGAGGAGGAGGCAGCAGCTCCCGAGTCCCAGCGCCGCAGTTCCGCAGGGCAAAGCTCCAGGCCGCAGAAGTGAGATTTTTGCAGCTCCTTCCATCCCACGGGGAGGGGACACAACCCCTGGCTGGCAGCAGGAGTCCCCGGCCCAGCAGAGCGCCATCCAGGTGTCCAAGGGAGGCTTCGGGCAGCCAAGCGCCTTGGAAGGGATGGTGGGTTAGCTCCCCCCCTCCCCCCTGGCCTGGAGACACAGGAATCCCTCCCGACGCATTGGGGTCGTTTCCCACCATGGACTGGCCGGGTTCCACTGAGGGTGATTCCAACTAGCCAGGCGCGCAGCCCGGTCCGAGGCACATCTACTCAGAAATCAGCCCCCCCACCATGCTTAACGGGGCTGACTTTCAATAGTCAGAAATCCACCAAAGGGCCCCGTTTAAAGCAGAAGACCGGCTTTCTCTGCTTGGCATCCCTGGGGGGGGGGGACCAGAAATTGGGGGGTGCACGGGGGAGGGGCAGAAGGTATCCTCATCTAGTGGGGGGGGACCTGGGGCCGGCCCTGATTTTGTCCATAGTTTGCTGACCAGTCTGCTTTATTTTGTTGAAATATTTGAAAACTTGTAAAGTGATTATTTTAAAAGTTTATCAGAAATTTTAACAGTGCATTGTAAAATTATATAGTAGAGGTGTGGGTAAAGTGTTCGCCTTATACAGAAGCATCTTATCTACTTAGAAAATACAAAACTACAGTCACCTAAGGTTCAGGGAGCAATCCTAACCAGGTCCCACTTCAGTCATTGATGCTCACTCTTGGGAAAGTGTCCTCAGGACTGGAGCCTTTGTCTTTTTTGTCAATAAAAGCTTTACTGTATTATTTTTCAGAGACATTAATTTCTAGAATCATGTTCTTTACAGATACAGTCTGATTTTCAGAATTCTACAGTGATCACATACACGATTTCTGGTCAAGGGGTCACAGAACCACCATATGGACTATTTGTTATGAATGGAAAAACAGGCGAACTGAACATCACTGGAAAGGTTGATCGGGAACAAACACCCGTGCTCCTTGTAAGTTAAACAACTGGCCTTGCTTTTCTTGTTAAGCATCATCAAATTCATGTCAGCACTGACTTCTTTTCTTCTTTCCTCATTTGCCTTGTATCCACGGTATACTAACTACAAGCAGTAATTCAGCTACAAAAACTGTTTATTTTCCTGTTGCTTATTTGTCTGTTATTATTCCAGTTGAAAGGTTTCGCCATCAATCAGAATGGTGATAACATAGAAAAACCATTAGACCTGAGAATTAAAGTTCTGGACATAAATGATAATAGCCCAGTGTTTTCAGAGGAAGTTTTTGTGGGCTCTGTTGAAGAGTTATGTGATGTAGGTAAGTTTTAAAATTCTATTTACATTTTCATTCTGGTTTATATATGATGCATTCAGACAAAATAACAAATTGTGGTTTGCCAGTATGGGAATGACCCATGCCTTGGTAGTCCTTGGGTATGCCTGCTCTCCTCCTTACCCTCATGTCAGACTTCCTGGTTTGCAACAAGCTGTGACTTGCCATAACATCCAAACCGGACAAAATGACAATCTGGCTTGCTCTCTTGCCTGCTATATTCCAGAGTTTACCACCACGGGGTGGACAACTATAGCTTGTTGTGAACCAGAAAAATCTTCCATCTCTAAGCCCAAGAATAAACTGATGTACTGGTTCTGAGTAGACCACTGTGTTCTCTGGATAGCTGTTTTGAATTAATATTATTTTCGAAGCTGTCCTGACTCCTTAGTTATATTTGTGCAAGTGTCACTGATTTCAATGAGGGTTCATACACATTTGCAGACTTGGTATGTCCATAGATTAGGAACATCAACCATGTTTAATTTTGGGTTGGCTTCTACCCAACGAAGTTGGAAACCTTTCTCCAACTTAAGTGACTCCTCCTTTAGTGGACATTGGAGGAAGGATTCCCAGGCTGGCAGAAGGCCTCAGATTTTGGCTGAGTGAAATAGCACAACACAAGCTTGTAAAAATTGACACTGTACCGGCCAAAAGTTTAATGATAAAAACCAAAAGCTTCCTTCTATTGGATGCTAATTTTTTTGTGATGGTGGGAAAGGGCAAAAGGATGGTATTTGACTCTCTTTTCGATGAGACTTTGATTTACTTACTAAGCACAATGAGATGGTAGACTAGAGTTCTGTGTGGAATGATGGATTATACTAGGAATAAGGCCTGTTGCAGAAATAAATACAGTGAGCTCTAGAAAGAGGCTCTGGGAGAGTGCCAAGACCTTGGGGACTCAGCGTCAATTTGCTGTGGCGACCTCAAACCCCACCCTCTCCAGGCTCCACCCCTGAAATCCCCAGGAATTTTCCAACCTGGAGTTGGCAACCCCATCCCCTTCCCAGCTAACCATCAACCTACCATTATCTGCCCCTCTGACTGCAGCTGAGTTCTGCACTCTCTCCTGGAGATCAGTTGTATTTCTGAGTGATCTCCACCCTTCACCTTGAGATTGGCAACAATGGTTCCCCAGGAGAAAATGTGTAGTTTGGGGGGTGGAGTCTATGGCATTGTATCTGTCTGAGGTCCCACCCCTCCTCAAACCTCACCCTCTCCAGGCCCCACCCCTCAAATCTCCAGGAATTTCCCAGCCTGGAGTTGGCAACCCTATCTCCTTCCCAGCCAAGCATCACCCTGCCATTATCTGCCCCTCACTCTTCAGCTTTCCATCTCCTCCCCCCTCCCTCCTGGAGACAGTTGTAATTCTGAGTGATCTCCATGCCTCACCTGGAGATTGGCAACAGTGGTTCTCCAGGAGGGAATGACTGGTTGGGAGGGTGGAGTCTATGGCATTGTACCTGTCTGAGGTCCCACCCCTCCTCAAACCTCACCCTCTCCAGGTTCCATCCCTCAAATCTCCAGGAATTTCCCACCTGGAATTGGGAACCCTGTCTCCCTCCCAGCCAGTCATCAACCTACCTTTATTTCCCCCTCACTCTTCAGCTTTCCATCTCCCCCCCCCACCTGCAGCCTCTACCCAGGAGGAAAAGTAGTCTTTCTCTGCAATGGGGACCAAAGGAGCTTACATCATTCTCCTCTCCCCCGTTTGACTTGCATAACAACCCTGTGAGGTAGCTTAGGCTGAAAGTCTGTGACTGGTCCAAAATCACCCACTCAGCTTCTACGGCAAGAACCTGGATCTAGCAGACCCTGCTCTGAAGCACTGACTTGCTACGCCTAGGGTAGCCAACCTCCCGGTGGAGCCTGAAGATCACCAGGTATCACAACTGAACTCCAGACAGCAGACCTCTCCCCCCTGGAGGAAATAACTGCTTTGGAAGGTGGGCTTTATGGCATTCTGTTCAGCTGAGGCCTCTCCTCTCCCCAAACCCTGGCTTCCATAGACTCTACCAGAAAATTTCCAGGAATCTCCCTACCTGGAGCAAGCAACCCTAGTTAGGACTGGCCCCAATGAGTTCCTCACAAAGGCCTTTAAAGGGTTTCCTTCCTTTGTCTGAACCAAACTGTGATGAAACGGGCTCCAGTTTACAGCTCAGCTGGATGGGCTGGAGTCTATATTGATGCTGCCCTGCCCCTTAGGCCAGTCCCTCTTTTTCCACACTTTTTGGCCTTAGGGCAGCTGGGAACTGTAGGCCAGCAGATGAGGAACCCCCATTCAACCAAGTGAGTGATACCCCTGCAGGCCCCTCTCTGGAACTACAGCTCAATTAAACCTTATGGGGGAACATTTTAAATAACCACAGATGGCAGCCATCTTACAAATACAGGTAACTGCCATTTTGTTACACCTACCAACAGCCACTGAGGGAAGAGTTAGTCCCACACAGGAGGCAAGCAGGAGAAGCATCTTTGTCAAGAGAGAAAGCCATTTGCCAGTAATTTTGACAGGGCATAGTGGCTGAAGGGGGAGTGGGTGGGGAAGAGGAGCAGACCCAGCACCCGGCCAATGGCACACAAGTACTCTTGAGTGGCGGCTGATGGGCCAATGGCTGAGGGAGGGCATGGAATGTTGCCACTCAAAAATAGCATTATTATATAGGAGAGATAGTTGCAGACACGAAATCCAGAATCTTATTTTTGAATAGTTCCTTACATTTAAAAAAACTCCTTGCAGGTACAGACCTAGCACACCAGTGGTAAGGTTGGATTAGAAAATCTCTCTGTATTGTCCTGGCATTCTGCTTGCAGCAATTTCATGCAACAAAATAAGGAAGAACCGTGTCCCATACCAGCAGCTTGGAGAAGAACAGCTCATTGTACCAGGTCCAACCTGAGAGGAAAATTTATTGATCTCTGTTTTTAAAAATTAGTGATAATACTAATGGTTCAGTACTCAAATCAGGAAAATGATTTGCAGCTCCTTTTAATATCTGTCAGAAGGGAGAGGGTGTGGTGCTACATAGGTTTAAAATGCCCAGCCAAGTATCAACAAATACAGCTTTCATCATCTTTTCAGTGTTAACATCACATCTATTTTTAAAAGTAATATCAATATAGCTCATTCTTAATAACCTAGTAGTATCGATTATATCTGTCAAGTAAATTTTTATCCCTCTTTTCCTCTAAGGAGCTCAGAGCGGCATACATGGTTCCCCCTTCTTCATTTTATCCTCATAAGAACCCTGTGAGGCTGGTTAGTCTGGAAGAAGTAACTAACCCAAGCTTCATGGTAGAGTAGGGCTTCGAACAGTACGACACTAGTAGCATCCTATATAGGAGATGGGGACCAGAAGAAGGGCTTGAAACAAAATATTGCAGCTTGTTTTCTTCTCAACTTGTTCTTCATGTACCTGTTAAATTGCAGTATGGAGTTGATGGGAAGCAGATTTTAAAAGATCCTCTTTATGCCTGCTTCCTTATATCGGTGCTGTCACTTAATACCGTCTCTAGATGTTTTCTTTTTCCTTTGTCCATCTGTCCCTTTCCTCTTCCGCTGCTTTAGGTTTTAATTCTGTCATCCCCTGTCCCGCCACCCATGTTCCCATGGAACAAGTCTGTATTTTATTATCTATGTTTAGTACTTATAAATATTATTTCTTTAGAAGTTTTATAGGCTGCCTCTCAAGAGATCTGCTCAAGGCAGCTCAAAAAATAAAAATCATAAAGATAACAACATAAAAATTATCAATAATAATAATGAACATTTTTATGCCAGGGGTATAAAAATGGAGGAAACAACATTCAGCAGCCTAAAATTGTAAACAGGCCACAAGTAGGCCATAGAAACAGCTTAAAAAGATGGAATCCCTCAGTTAAAAGGCTTGGTGAAAAGGTGTGTTTGGTCCTGGCACAGAAGACAGAAATGTAGGTGCCAGGTGAGCCTCAAGGGGTAAGGCATTCCAAAGGCAAAGTCTGTTTCTGTTCACCACCCTCTTCACCTTCATAGGGGGAGGGTTTAGAAAACAGGACTTGGAGGAGAGGACCTTAACTGGTGGGGTGGACAGTACTGGAGGAAGCATTTACTCAATACTCTGTTCCCAAGCCATTTAGGTTCTTAAAGGTCAAAACCAGCACTTAAGTTTTGTCTAGAAACAGATGGGCAACCAGTATAGCTTGTTCAGGACAGGAAGATATGATTCCTGCATTACTGAGCAGCAGGCTGTATTTCATGGTCATTTTGCTCATTATGCAGAGACAAGTCCAAATTAGCCATCAAGCCTCGCAGAGCCACCTCTCCCTGCTCACTCTGGTCCTCCTCCACCCACCGGTGAGAGGGTCAGAGCGAACTTCTGGGCCCCATCCCACAGTTTGAGAACAACTGTTTTGGAAAGTGCCTAACAATATATAGAAATGTAATATACAGAATATTTGAATTTTTTAACTACAGCTTGGCAAGCGGCACTGCATAACATTATATTCTTTTTAATTCTTAGGTACTGTTGTGATGAGGATAAGTGCAACTGATGCAGATGAGCCAAATACCCTCAACTCCAAAATTGCCTTCAGGATTATTTCTCAAGAGCCCAGTGAGCCTCCTGCATTCATGATTAACAAAGCAACAGGAGTGGTTCAGACTACGACATTCCAGCTTGACAGAGAGGTCAACTCTTTTTCTTCTTTTGATATCTATTTATAGAGAGAACTATGAATCTTGCAGATTTTTTTAAAATTACCTATACAAAAATGAGACTCTTAACAACTTGAACCTTTGATGCCCTGTTCCCATACCACCACCACCCCAGTGCTCCAGCACCTATGCTGACTCTCCATTGATTTCTTAGCACTGTTTAGTGTGCTTGCTGTTCTTTCTAAATGTCCAAATGGCTTGGATGCTGCAGAGACTGCCTCCTCCCCATGCCCCTCTTGCAGCCTCTAAGATCTGAGGGCAACTCTTATTCTACCTCTGAGTTAACACTGTCCATACGGTCTCCCCAGGGCAGGGGATGTCCTTCCCCGACTGTGGGAGTCACTTCCAGTATGACAGCCACAGGATCCAGGATAGCATTGTCCAGAAACTCTACTTAACCTTTGTTTCAAGCACCTTAGAGACCAATGAGATTTTTGGGGTGTAAGCTTTTGAGAGTCAAAGCTCCCTTCGTATTCAGATATCTGACAAAAGATATATGACCTTCAAACGCTTATACTTTTATATGACTTTCGAATGCTTATACTCTGAAAATCTTGTTGGTCTTTAAGAACATAAGAACATAAGAGATGCCAATGTTGGATCAGGCCAAAGGCCCATCCAGTCCAACACTCTGTATCACACAGTGGCCAGAAATACCAGTGCCATCAGGAGGTCCACCAGTGGGGCCAGGACATTAGAAGCCCTCCCACTGTTGCCACTCCCCCCTCCCAAGCACCAAGATGACAGAGCATCACTTGCCCCGGAGTCCCTATCTATACCTTGTGGCTAATTAGCCACTGATGGACCTCTGCTCCATATGCATAAGGTACTACTAGACTTGAATCTAGGGCTGCTACTAAACCTTGTTTGGGCTGAGTGGCTACCAGTCTGCTTGCTTGCTATTCTACATTATTTTGTAGATCTTAATTTTTTAAAAAAACATTACATGGTTTTTGTTTTTCAATCTATATCATCTTATCCTAAGCCAAAATGCTATCATGAAGTCCCTCCACCTTACAGGGTGAAGGTGGGGAAAGCTTCTTCTATACATGCCTCCTTTCTCAGCCTTTCCACCTACTGCAGCTTCCACTGCCACCTACCCCAGAGAGCTTCCAGGATTCAGTCAGCTGGCAGCAAGGCTCATCTCCTCCGCATGCCTCTTCCTCAAAGGAAAGACAGGCATGAGGAGCCCTTCCTGCAGTTGCTGTGTCTGGGTTCAGGGTAATGAGGGAAGCAGTGTTCCCTTTCATGTGCAACATTAAGCGTCTGACTTGGATTTGTCTGTCCCTGTTTTTACACCCCCTTATATCTACCTATTTGGCTTTCATGCAGGAACACAGTAGCTTCTCCTTAATTGTGGAGGCAAAAGACCGAGATGGAGCTGCAATCGGGTTAGGGAAAGCAAGCACTGTAAAGTTCAAACTTATAGATGTCAATGACAATATTCCGGTTCTTGAGAAAGCCACAGTAAGTAATTTGGCTGGAAAGCTTTGAGTCCTAGTCCGCATGTTAAAATGACACGCTGTCATGAGTTGCTAGTGGCTGCCTTGAGAAGATGGAAGAGACCTTAAAAGGCTTATTTGTTTGCAGTACGAAGGAAGTGTTAAGGAAAACATGGCAAATATGGAAATCATGCGACTGAAGGTTTTCGACAGAGATGAGGAGTTCACCGACAACTGGCTGGCGCAGTTCGCAATTGTGTCTGGCAATGAAGGAGGCTATTTCCGTATAGAAACAGATTCTCAAACCAATGAAGGAATCTTGACTCTTGTTAAGGTTAGTGCCTGTTGTGGAGACTCTTGAAGTTTGCTATACTGGTCCTGATTCAGCGTGCAATGTTGTGAGGTGGCGACACACTCTGAGGGAGATTGTCATGCAGATATGTTTTAATATATGTTTTATATGCTTATTGCATATTAAATAGCCCATCTGGAAAAAGATGCAGAATCATGTTGCCATTTTAATCATGTCTGTGGACAGAAAGCAACATAGTAGATGTGCCCCATTTTCTCCCTTAACAGCAGAGCAGAATGGCGTGGTGCCAGTTTGAATCAAAACAGTTTGTGTTAGCATCTTCTGTACAACTTACAGCATTATACCTGCCTCTATAGTAACCATTTCATACAGGGACAATTTCTCTGTATTCGGTTGTATTCTGTTCTAGTTTTTAAGAACCTAGCTCTTCTCCCACAGTTATCAGAAATTCAATGGCTGCATTCCTAAGTACAGTATTCCAAAGTAAGTTTCATTGACATTGTGGGATTTGTTTCCACATTATCTGTTTAGGTTCTGGTAAGAATGATTCTGTGCCAAACACAACACTTTTGTGTATGTAACTCTCCCAGTTTGTACCTAATGGTAAGATTTCTGAAGACAGTGGCTTGAGTTGGAAGCTGGAGCCAAAGTTCAACAAGCAAAAGGGTTGCTCAGCTGGCCAAAGAAGACCAAACTTGCCAATTTGTACTGATCTGGCATTATGAAGTTTTATAGTCATGGGACCTGAAGCACACTGTAAACATTTTTTTTCTTAACAGTATCTCTGGAATAGCTCCCATCCTCACATTCCGAATTTCTGATGTTCCCGGCTCGTTTCAGAGTTTCTGGCACACTTTACTTAATACTGACAGTGTTTCCTATGGAGGTGATAGTTTAGTGCTCCCCTACAAGCATACACCCAGATTGCAAAGGGGGTTAATTATAGTCAGCACAGCTACAGATACAAGCTTGGCATTTTTTAACAATCAAAATGTTGTCTTCTTGGATCTTTTAATGAAGAGAACTGACTGTTTTGTACCTTATAGGTGTTGTGTGTCTTGCTGAGGGAATGTAGTCAAGAGTTGTGCAAGTCCAACTGGGCTATCTTGCTTCCTCAGCAGGAACACGTCTTCAAAGGGCCTGTGAAGCCGTGAGGTTGAGGAAGATAGACCGAGAGTGAGATGGGTCCACAAAAGCAGTGAGCCACTAAATCTACAGAATCTAGTCATAAAGTGACAAATGGACATCCTTCAGTGGCAGTAAATTGAGGAAGAGAGACTTTCTCCTCCCTTTTATAGGTGCATTGGCTGGGAAACCATGCTAAAGGGCAGGAGAGTGGCTTGCACTGTCAAAAGTTTTAGAATGTCTACAGCTGGCCTGTGCACATTCCCATGTGGAACTGCACAGAAGACATTATTATGAACCATGAAAACCCCAGTTTTTAAAGTAGTGTTCTAGCTAGAGCGTTTGGAGGCTGTTTCATGCTCCTTCAAGTATCCAAGATGATATTTTGAGGGGGCAGCCAAAAGTACACCAAGAAAGAGAGTTGCTTTTCGATTCTCAGAAATAGAGTGAGTGTATATTCCATGCACGGTTCTACAGTTTGCACATGTGATGAATTGAGCTCTGGATCAGAACAAAATTTAGACGAGTAAATTGTTTTAGTCTTTAAGGTGCCCCTGGACTTCCTTTGCTGCAACAGACTAATATGGCTACCCTTCTGAAAAGCTAAGAACATTTGCTCAGCTTTACTTCTAATGATAAAACATCAAATGGAAAAATTCATTTTAGTGCTTTTAATCTGAACATTTCAGACCAAATTCACTATGCTTATCAGGGAAATCTGTCTGTTAGTATTCTCCAGTGTGGGAATTGAAGTGTATGTATGTTGAGGATATTCTTCTTTTCTTTTCAGGAAGTTAATTATGAAGAACTACAGACAATGAACTTAAATATTGTTGTATCTAACAAAGCAGCATATCACAAATCAATTATTAGTCGTGGTTATCAAGCACAACCAATTCCAGTTAAAATTAATGTGATAAATGTGAAGGAAGGTCCTGTGTTTAAGCCCCAAACACTGGTAATTAAAGCAAACAGAACCATGAAGCTGAATCAGGTTATTGGAAGCTTTCAAGCTTTTGATGAAGACACTGGAAAAATAGCAGAACGTATCAGGTAGGATTCCTTACTTTTATCAGAAATACTGCTTAGAGTGTATTATAGCTGCAGTCAAACATCATAAACAAATCTCAATTTGGGTGTAGTTGTTAAGAGTGTAGACTCTAATCTGGGAGAACTGGGTTTGATTTCCCACTCCTCCACATGCAGCTCCTGGTGTGACCTTGGGTCACTCATAAGTTCTTTCAGAGCTGTTCTCGCAAGGACAGTTCATGAGAGAGCTCTCAGCCCCCACCTACCTCACAGGGTGTTTGTTGTGGGGAGGGGAAGGGAAAGGGATTGTAAACTGCTCTGAGACTCCTTTGCGTAGTGAAGGGCAGGGTATAAATCCAGTCATTTCCTCCTTCTCCTCCTAATGCTGAGACCAAGCCAGAAACCTCAGACCTGAACACTTCCTGCCCTTAGGTGCATTGTTTGTTATTGTTTATACCTCCTTTCTTCCAAAAAGCTCAGGCTAATGTACATCATTGTCACCTCCTCTCTTTTAACTTAACAGCAACCCTGTGAGATAGAAGTGCAAACCAGGAAGTCTTATATAAAGCACAAGATGTTGTGACATCCAAATTAGGTACTGTAACAAGCTGCAATTTGTTGAAGTCTGCAGTTGAAGACTTCCTGATTCACAGTTTCAGCAAAGTAGACAAGCACGGGAAGGAGGAGGGAGTGTGCCAGGCCAAGCATTTTGGCTTGTTGTCATCAGAAACAGACTTACGATTTGTTTGTAGTGTGCAAATGCACCCAAAGTCAAATTGCTGTGTAGCAATTAATATCAGATGGGAATTCCATATGAAGATGTGCTGAAATTGTTACATAATTTATACCGATGATTTCATTACCTCTGGATTGCAGACTTCTTGTTATGTCAGTATCAGACAGTGCAATCCTAAGAACACTTTCTTGGTAGTAGGGTCCACTGAGTAGACTTCAGTATGCGGGGCACATGAATTACGTGAATTCCCCATTGTATTGTGCAGGCTGATAATAACACAAACCTAGAATTTTGCAGATGCTTAGCTTCCTTAAGAAAATGCATCCATTTGTTGTTCTGTTGTGATATATTATGTTGTATCTTGTGTTGCTGTGTGCGCCCACATACATGTGTATGTGTGTTAAGTGCCAGCAAATTGCTTTGAACTTATGGTGACCCTGTGAATTAATGACCTCCAAAATGTTCTACTGTTAGCAATCTTGCTCAGATCTTGCAAACTGAGGGCTCTGAGTTCCTTGGTTGAGTCAATCCATCTCATGTTGTGTCTTCCTATTTTCCTCCTGCCTTCAACTTTTCCTAGCACTTTTGTGTTTTCCAGTGAGCCCTGTCTCCTCATAATGTGACTAAAGTACAATTAGCTCACTTTAGCTTCTAGGGAGAGTTCAGGCTTGATTTGATCTAGAACCCACTCACTTGTCTTTTCGGCAGTCCGTGGTATCCATAAAACTCTCCTTCAACACCACATTTCAAATGACCCAACTTTGTTCCTGTCAGCTTTCTTTATCGACCAGCTTTCACACCCATACATAGTAAGCCCACATACATACATTTCTTCAAAAGGAAATACAGAAAGAAGCCCTGAGACTTAGGAAGAAACAAGGAAAAATCAAATGAAGATATTTTGTTATTTTTCAAAACAAATGAGCTCTGCATGTATATGTCTCAAACTGGCTTTGTATCCTAATTGCCTTGAATGGTTTAACATCTGTTAAAAATCTGTACAGGTATTCCAAACTTCGTGATGTTGAAAACTGGTTTAAAATAGATTCGAAAACTGCTGAAATCAAGCTTATTAAAATACCTAGATTTGACTCATCTTCTCTTGTCAATGGTAGTTACATTGCAACAATTCTGGCTGTAACTGAAGGTAAGCGATGGCTCTCTTTCCCTTATTTCCAAGGAATGATCAGCATTTAATTCATGCAAATTCTAATTTGTCCATTGTTTAAAGCCTAAAGCGAGCTTTGGAAACAGCAGCCATGTCCGGCCAGTAAGCTATCTGAACAAGACTAGGAGGCAGTCCACGTATTTTTAGTTTCGTTAGCTAAGCTGATATTTGTAGCTGTGACTGATTATAAATAGTTGGTGGGCCTCATCTTAGTCTTCTGACAGGTATAGAGGGCTTGGGGATGGGGTGGGGTTTTGTTCTCATTTGAGCCAGGTTATAGAAAAGGCAACAAGCAGCAGGATTCTTCCCCACTGGTCTGAAAAGACTTCTGTTGCTGCTTATTGTCTCCAGATCTTAGCACAGCAGGGCTCCAGGGAGGGGATTTGTGTGCTTCTCAACATCCTGGTTACCTGATGAGTGCATTTGTGGATGCCTAGCAAAGCACCCATGTCCCTTTGCTGTTTTGTGAAGTACCTGATGCATGAGTGTCACTGGGCAGATGTAATTGCGACAGTAAATACCTCTGATAAAGCCATCTCACTTCCAGTATGACATGAAAATGGGATTTACTCACAAATGTGAACACTCTATTAGCATTGTGAGAACCGCTAATCCAAAATCACTCAACAAGCATGTCTACTGTTCACAATACCCAAGGCAATGTAATTCTGGCTGATTGTTTCCTTTGGTAACAAGTTCTAGTCTGCGGTTAAAATGCATTGTACATCTTTCAGAATGAAGCATTGAATTCACATTAAAAGTTTTTACATATTCAGGAAAGCTAATTAACTTCTAAACAGTAAACAAAACTGCATTCTTATACAGTGAAATATAATTTGTTTTGCCTTGTATATTTGCAGACATCCCTTCAAAAACTGCTACAGGTACCATTGCTATTCAAGTACAGAATGTTAATTTCCATTGTCCAACTATCACAACACGAGCAACAACAATCTGTGCTGATGCAAAGTTCGCCAACATCAGTGTTGAAGATCATGATCCCCATCCAAATGGTGGTCCTTTCACTTTTAGTGTCATTGATGAGCCTGAAAGAATGTCGGACAAATGGGTAATTGGCCAGGTAGATGGTAAGTAAGCGTCAGTATAATATATTTTATTGTCATTTTACCTAAAACTTATTTCTGATCTCCCTCTAGAGAAGGGGCCACAGCTCAGTGGTAGAGCATCAGTTTTGCATGCAGAAGGTCCCAGCTTCAATTTCCAGCATTTCTAGTTAAAAGCATTAGATAGCAGGTGATAAGACCTGAGTCCCTAGAGAGCTGCTGCCAGTTTAGGTAGACAGTTCTGAACTTGATAAAGCAATGGGCTTACCCAGCATAACGCAGCTTTTTGTGTATATGCATTTGCAAAGGGAGCTTCAGCCCTTGCCGAGGGGGGTGCTGTGTGAGAAACACTCCACAGTAAGATTGCCCTTGATAGACCAGCTTATAAACAGCTGTTTATATAACTTATGACTTACTGAATTATGAGCTGGTGATTGTGCACTGACCTAAAGCTTTAGGTATGTTTGGACCTCTGTAGTTGGGAAGTAGGAGTAGGAAAGGGCCTCACTGGAGCCAGGTATAGAATGTCTGAAGCTGGACTGACATACTTTAGCTACCAGCCTTCACAATTTTGTTTTGATTCTCATGGCAAGTACTGCCATGAGAGGAGTAGCATTTTAACTGCCTTCCCATAATTCCATATCCACTGGAAAGCAGGGATTTGAATAGTGTTCTAAACAATTAGGGTTATGCATATAGTGGCATCTCCTGTGGCTTTCATAATGTCCTGTTTCAAACAGGTGTGATGGGAATCAGTTGCCTCCAAATTGCCCTTAATAATAACAGGACCAAGATCCTATTGCTGTCCAGATTCTGTGGAATGTAATACTTACCTTCGGCATTTCCTTACCTTTTTACCACTATTTGCTGCTTCTGTTTTTGCCTGCATACATATCTGCCAGCTAGTACATGTATGTACCAAAAACATTCTGGTGGTTGTTCAGATTCTTTAATAACTAGTTGGGATTTCCTGGTTAACTCTGGAATTTCCTTAACACCAGGGATGTGCCTTATCTACTGTTTAGAAATACTTAGTGCAAATTAAAAATTATAGTTTGTTAAACTGGTGCATTTAGGTCTTTGAAAAAAGTTTTACCAACAGCTATATAACCTATAAACTGGATTATCTGGCTTGTCTCATAATTTTTATAACATGAAATTGTAACACTGATTGCAGCTGTAGTGATAATTTGGGTGAACTGGAAAGACACTTTTAACGTTGCATTCCATTGTTTTATTTTTAATACCCTGTTTTATTTTTTATTTTCTGTGAAGGATCTAGAGCACAGCTTGTATCAGTGGATGCGCATCCTGGCTCATATGAGATTCCTATTTTAGTAAAAGATAACCAGGGTCTCAGCTGTGCTGACCGGCAAATTGTTCACGTCTCTGTTTGCACCTGTGGGAAAGATGGAGTTTGCGTAGGACAGAGGATTGTTGGCTCGTCAGTTGTGCTGGGACCTGCTGCAGTTGCATTGATAATCCTGGCACTCTTGTTGTTGCTGCGTAAGTAACAGGACACTGAAACAGTTTCTCCATTGAGGGGTTTATGACTTTGTACACTATAAGCAAAATGAACCAACCAGAGTTAAGTTCCTTCTTAATCTTTTGTCCCATTTAAATCAAGACAGCATAAGAGTTTTATTTAAAACATTTTTGCCTGGTTTTTCCAACCCAGTAGGCCCAAAATTATTCACAAGACTGTGCAACCAGCACCCATAAGGCTAAAATCATAAGATCCCGTGAATTTTTGTTGACAGAAGAAATAGCATCAACATTTACCTATGAAGACAACAGCCAATAGGGATGGGCATAAACTGGGGAAACCCAGTTCGGGACATGTCCCAAACCTGAACCCAGTTCTGCTAAACTGAACCGGTTCAGGATGTGTTAGCCAAATTGCTCTATTATTTAATAAAGATGGGGAATTATAATTATTAATATGCAGTTGGCTTATCTATAGGATCTGACCTGTGTATACCAGAGTTAGAATTCCCAAGAACCCAGGAACAGAAAATAGGTGGCTAAAATAATGATTTCTTTATTAAACATTCTCAAGCATACAAACAATATTCAAACACTCACACACACAATATAGAACTATAAGGAAGCAGAGGTGATTGATAGCTTATAGAGGGTTGATACAACCTGTCCAGATGTGCAGAGATCCATGGATTGTGGCCTAAACTCAGAGAATTTAGGGGTGGACTGCCATTTTGGATTATGGCAGAAAACACACGGGCTAAGGCCATGTTTACGCTGGGATATACCCTATGGAAGACAATGCAGACCAATGGGCGGTCTTGGGGGCTGGTCTCAGGTGAGAACAATAGATTTCCTGGACCAATGCTGAGTCCCAGGGGTGTGTGGCATCAGGATGGGCAAGGCCTAGATGTGACCAATGAGCTTCCAGAGAGGCAGGGTCTGGATTTAACAATAGAAGCCAGGTGTTGGGTGGCTAGTTAAATGGATTATCTGACCACTAATGGTCCTGGCCAAGATAAACAAAAGGTGGGGGACGTCCCTGATTAGCGTCAGGAAGGATCGTTAATCATTTGAATGTTTCATTGGTTTATCCCGGTATCTTGAGGGACAGAGTAGAAAAGTCAAGTATTCAGACAAAGAATTAAATAGACTTTAGAAATGTAGATACTTTACCTGCTAGAACTCATTGTTATTCCATAAGCATAATCTCTGCTGGGTGGAGGGGGAAGACTGAGGGCTAGCTCTGAGGTTGCCTGTCACCTGAAAATGTAGACCTCTTTTTCAGAGCTGTGGCTAGCTCTGTGTTTCAGAACCAAGAGTGCCTTCCTTGGCCTGAGTTTTGTGGGTCTTTGAGTCAGGTTAGAAGTGGGGTGCCCTTGCTATTGGGGCTACCCAAGAGTAAAAGCCAGTGCCTCTGGCAACAGATGTGGAGGCACCCCCTCCCCAGGTCCTAAAGACTCCAAAATTGCAGGGCATCTCTATCTGACTTTCCTTTACCTGCTTACCAAGTTTGGTGAAGATTGGACTTGTGGGGGGGGGGTCCCAGTTACAGACCCCCAAATAAGGTGTCCCCAAGAAGGTGCTTTTCTGGGAGATGTCATGCACAGGTTCTGGAGTGTATAGAACAGGCCCTGTGCAAGCTAGATGCCTCAGACTCACAGCAGAACCCCCCAGGATGCCCCCTATATGCCCTGACTTGGGCCCAAGTTTCAGCCCGCCAAAGAAGGCATCCCCAGGAAAGTGCTTTCTGGGGCAATGTTGCCAAGTGTGGGTTTGGGCCACAGAATGGACAGGATGGACCCTATATGACCTAGTAGAGAAGAGACATCAAACTTGGGATGGACACCCCCTCCCCCCTGGAAACATGCAGGAAAGAACTGTTGCCACCACTGATGTGGATGGGCCCTGGCTCTTTCCAACAACCAGATGAACGCAGGGCCAACCCTCTCCACCTTGGCCTGGGAGCCACCCATATAGTAATGGCTGTAGTACATGTCAGTGTAGGGCAGGGCTAACCCTTCCACCCTGTCTGGGGCCTGAGAGCCATCTGCACAGCAGGTGGCTGTGTCTCCCGAGCCCACCCTCCCACTGTGGTTAAGGTGATTACTGGGCATGGCCAACGCTCCCACCTTGCCCAGGGCTCCTGTTTGAGTGGCCTGCTCTTTC